GCCCCAGACTCGGACTCGACAGACCGCCGCCGCCACCGCCGCCGTTGCCAGGAGGCGCCGCTTTTGCCGCACGGGCCTACGGTCTGCTGCCCTGCAGACCCGGCCTCGCCTGCTCCTGCTCTTCCTCTTCCTCCTCCTCCACCTCCTCCTTAGCGCCCATGTTCTCGGCCTCATCGTCCGCCTCCTTCTCGAACCTTCCAGCGTTGTCCCTCGGGCTTCAGGGCCCAGAGCGAAGCAGGCTTTGCTGCTCGAGTCGCGACGACCTGCAGCGCTCGTTACGCGAGCTCTGGCCGCCCACCGGCTCGGTCAGAAGCCTCGATCCGGCCATCATCGCCTCGTCCGCCAACAGCTTCTCCGGCTTTCGAGCTACCGAGACCTCTGCCTCTGCCTCGACACAACTCGACACCAACACTGCCGCCGCCGCCGTCTTCTCCGCCAGCCTCAAATCGCTGCTCGGCAACGCCGCCCGTCTCGTCTTTCCGTCGGTCAACCGAGACTCCTCTGCCCTTCCGCCCGCCGAGTTCCTTGCACAGCCTCCAAACGCCTCTTCGTCAAGCCCCTCTCGCACTCACCCTTCCCTCGGCTCTTCGCCAACCTCCGCTTTAATGTCCCTCACCTCCAAAGGCTCCGCCTTCTACTCTTCCGTCTCGTTGCCGCCCAGCCTCTCCTTTTCCTCCTCTTCACCCTCCTCCTCCTCCTCCTCTTCTTCTTCTTCTTCTTCCTCCTCTTCTTCTTGCTTCCCTTTCGCTCCTTCCTCTTCCTCCTCCAACCAATCGCCCTGCTCCTCTGCCAATGTCGTTTCCTCGGCGTCCCCTTCAACCCTTCGGCCACCCCACACTCATCCCAATTTCTCCTCGCCCTCCTCCTGCCCCTCCTGCCCCTGCTCCTCCTCCTCCTGCTCTTTTTCCTGCTCTTCCTCTTCCTCCTCCTCCTCCTCTTCTTCTTCCTCTTCTTCTTCTTCTTCCTCCTCCTCCTGCTCAGCCTCGAGTCTGCCTGGCTACTTGTCGCCCGTCTTCTATCCGACCGCTCTGGCGGCCGCAGCTCATGTGATGGCTGCCCTCAAGGCTCCCTCCGACCCCGGCCCAGCCTCGGTATCCTTTCAACCTGCCGAGCTTAAGTCCACCTCCTCGACGGCTCCGGAATCGACAGCTTTTGCCCTCGGTGCCGGTTCGGCCAACTCGGCCAGCCTC